CAAGGCAATGGCCTCATTTGCCTTGGGCCATTGCCTTGGGCCAAGGCCGGGCCTGATTGTAGAGATGGAATGCGATTTAATATATTGGGCGTGGAGTTTGATGGTGACGACATTGGGTTTATATGGTTGTGATTGTGTTTGGGTTTGTGGAGATGGACATGGTGGTGGCGAAGTGATGCAGTACAATTTGTTACAAGTATTACACTTTGGGTAATTGCAGAAATGCCAACCAAACGGACCCTAATTTTTATTATTACTTCATTAAAAAATTAAATATTTATCATTTTACACCTCAAATACCATAAGGAAGCCTGATCAAAGCAGACAATAAGAAGATCAGAGTTAATGATAGACCAGATCTCCAAACTCCAAAGGCAAGACACTATAAAGACCCACAATTCTAACTCATAATCTCGATCGACTATCTAACATTCTTGTCATATTAGGATGAAAATCTCAAAGGTTTCACCATTTGTATATCGGAATTGACACCCCAGTATACACCCTCCCCTCACAATAGGGGCACGTCCAATAAAAAAATTGTGACCCCCAATTGTGAGGGCTTGTACACTAGTTCGTCACAGGTAACAAAGTCTAAATCTCTGAAATACCTCGTACCTGAGGGTCTACACGAAGAAGTTCCCATTTGCACAATTCAATCCATAATTTTTTTTAAGACAAAAATTCGTCATCAATCAAAGACTTTGTAAGAAATTATTGACAATTAATACTAATAAAGAGTTGCACTCGGTGATGAAAATATCAAAGCACAAGTCCACAAATTTATACGATAGCAAAATACACAAACGAGCAAATAACGGAAAGGGGATTTTGAACCGGCTACTCCGGTCCAATTCTTAATAACATAGTTTCACACATTGTAACACCATTTTTTTAATCAAACAACATTACCAGAAAATCATAGCTAACTTTTAGCGAAGTTTACCAGGATTAGCTCTAAGATTACAGAAATAGCCTTTGGGATCGCTCTCAAACACACTTCTCGGCATCCTAAAATTCCTCCCGGGCGCTTTCATCATCTTCACACACACTCTTCCAAAGCCGCGGCCCATACAGCAGCGGCAGCAGTAACGGAAGATACAGATGAACAAGATCGATGCCACCGCCATAATGAGGAACGAGGTGGCGACATGGAGCCAGTGGTGGATCTTATCGCCTCTTGTCTCCGGTGGAAACACCTTGTCAAACCAATCCACCACCTCGCCACCAAAATTTTCCATTGCCAGTCGTAATTCCTTCGACTTTTCTACAGTGAAGTTCATCACTTCATTCACACCCATTTCTGAAGGTTGTAGCGTGTGTTTCAGCTTTCCTACATTGATGTTCATCACTTCATTCACACCCATTACTGTAGGTTGTAGCGTGTGTTTCGACTTTTCTACAATGAAGTTCATCACTTCATTGACACCCATTTCTGTAGGTTGTATCGTGTGTCGAGGTGCTTTGATGTTTCGGAGAGGTAAGAACCACTAATTAAATAAATGCAATTAGGGTTGTGATTTTTATGGAAATTTGGAATAACTTTTCCAAAAGACGGTCAATTTTTGGGGCCCGTTATTGAATATATTTCTTCTCCACAAAGGAAAAGCATTAATTCAAGTCTACTTTCTAGGTCAAGCTACATAAATTGAGATTATTGTGTTTTGCTCTTGGGAAATTTCTTTTAAGTTTCATCACTTGGCTCTATGGTAGCAAAATGCACCGTGCGTCGACCACCTCCGGGCCAACATTTGGATCGAGTGATTAAATTGAAACTAGAACGCAAGTTACTAATATAATTAAGACATTTTTTTTTTAAATGGATGACACCTACAATGTTTCTTACCCTCGAACGTAATGTTGGCGAGTTTAAAGTTAGTTATTTTTTGTAAAATCTTCCCAATTTAATTAAGGATTATATTTTTAAATGTTCTTCATTTAGAGATTTTCTTTTAACCAAAAAAACAAAAAAAAAAGATTATTAGAGGTGCCGAGCATGTCTACTTTTGAGTCAACCTTTAAATATAACATTTTGCTCTCATCATTTAGCTCCAATTTGGTTTAGATTAAAAAAAAAAATCAAAATTATAGTAAATTTTGATAACGTTGATGAAATGTTTGGTTGAAAAGTTGTGGATCTCATAAAATATGTGATTCAAATTAATTGTTGATTATAATTTAGATTATAGTTTAAATTTTTTACCGAACCAAATAGGGGCTTAAATCATTACGTTGAGTAAATTCATATTAAACGCTAACAATTATATGTAACATTACTTATATTATAATCCAGACGAGGTTAGAGTGATTGACTAGGCACAACCCGCTTTAGGCTACATAACTTGGTAATTTACCGATAAATTAGAGTATTTGATAGTGATTTCGTTGAATTATAACTTAATTATGTGTTAATTATATTTTTTTAGGCAACAAAAAATGGTGAAATTGAAGAAATGAACGAAAAATCGGCGAAAACGAAATAAATCCAAAATTTGTGGACCAAAGCATAAACATTCAAAAGTTGATTTGGATCACAAAACGATGATTAAAGATCATATATGATCAATTGGATGCAATTGGAGGTCAAATGAATGAAATATAATGAAAATATTTTCACAAATCAATTTCGAACCGAAAAAGTTATGCTCTGAATTTTTAGCCTCAAATAGAGACCCATTTTTCGGATAGCTTCTAATTGGAAAAAACAAATATTTCTAGAATAATTGTAGCCCTTTGAAATATATTTCCAACACATTTTGAATCATCTCAATCGGATATTTGTAGAGAAAGTTATGGCCAAAATACTGAAAACCGTTCAATGACGAATCGAAGAGAACCTACGCGCGCAGTACCCTATTTTCCCGAACCCAAGAGCCATTTGGTTCTACGGCGCACGTGCGGTAGTTATGTCAGTGCACGCGCAGGCCATTTTCGTAGATGAATGATCAGTTTCTTTTCGCATTTTAAACTCTTTTTGAATCCAAATTAAACGCAATTTTAACCTATTTTCTAGCTCTTATAAATAGAGACTGAGGGCTACACATTGAAGAAAAAACTCTCTTGCCTCTTCATACAAAATATTGTTATCAAATTTATTAAGAACAATTGGTCAATTACTATATTTTGAGATAGTATATCAAGCATTTGCAAAGAATTGAAGGCCAATTACATCAAAATTTTGAAGAATTCAACATTTGAATTGAAGATCTACACCTTTTGTATTCTATCATGATCCGGTGATATTTTTCTATTATTATTTTTATAATTTATATATTAACATGATAGACTAGATCCTTTTTGTATTGGATGAAGATAAACCATA